TATAATTACCCTGGCCAAGTAACTTATTATAACGTTATTAAGCACTCACCTGCTCTCCCAAGGACTCATAAAATATGGTAATATTATTTAATAATAATTTTAATAATTATTTCTTTCTTTTTTTATTTAATTTTATTTTAACTAATTCTTTTTTAGTTAATTTTTATATTAGTATACTCAGATAGATCTTATAGTATAGAAATATTAATTATTGTTAAGTATATTAATTATATAAACATAATAAAAAAATCTTTCTATACTTATATTCTCTTTATAATCATCAAATTTTGCTTTCCTAAGGGTGGTAATTATAGAGAAATTTGACTATATTATAAAAAAACTGATACTTAAACCTATTTTGAAATACTAATTAAAAATATTAAAAAGGTAATTTTATGTATATATTTTTCTTTAACTCTAATTCATATTCTTACTCTGTTATTATAAATTATTAATTAATTATACACCGAAAACTTAGAGAAACTTAATTATATATTCACTATACTTTAGTGCATCTCCAAATCTGAATCTCTTAGAAAAGAATCATATATAGTATATTCAAAAATGATATTTGCAAATATTAAACTTTACACAATATTAATGCTCTAATTAAATCAAATTAATATTAAATTCAATCTGAAATATTTCAAATTATTATTTTTCATTTAATATTAAATTAAATGAAAATTTGTAAATATATTATACAATACAATATATTTTGAATAATTTTATTTAAGCACAAAATTAATAAAAAATTATTTTATGATTTTTGGACCAAACCTGATCCAAATAGAGCTTTACACAGTATTGGAAGAGGAATTTCTATAATAAGAAGAAATTAATTGAGAGTATATTACAACATATCCAGATAATTCAGAATAAATCTATTGGAAATTGATATTAAATATTAATTATCATATATAGTTATTGTTAAATAAGTTAAATATCTGGTGCCATTCTTTTATAGAGTATAAATTTTGCTAAAATCTGATCAATTAAACAAATAATTTTAAATATGAAAATGATAAGTAATTATATTTATAGAAATAACAATTCACAAAAATAATAACTATAATTGACACTTATCAAGTGCATTTTCTCTTCAAGTGCAAATTATTAAAATATTATAACTAAAAATTTTGATAAATATTTATTCTCAATAAATGCATGGTACTTATAATCTGCACTTATCGAGAGTTGACTGTACTTTTTTTCATAAATATATAATAAACATTAAGAGCAGGAATTACAAAGTTATTGTTATATGATATTAATCAGATCTATTCAATAAAAATATATAAAAATTTAGTGCAACTAATAGGAGTATAACAAATTTTTGATCAATCTAGCAAAACAAACTTGATATAAGAAAATGAAAAAAGACAAAAAATATGAAAAATAATATCAGAAAGACAATTTTATATTAATATTGATCTCAACTTTAACTTTAATTCTAATACTTAATATTGTTATAAGTTTGTTTATTAATTGTTAAATTAGATTATAAACTTGAATCTGAATTAGAAAAGAGTAATAAACTAATAAAAATATTAAAAAAAGAGATATCTAAATTTATGTCAATTTTTATGAAAATTATATTTATTTAAAAAGAAATAATAATATAAGAGAGTTGTGAAAGAGTAAAGATCAAAGAGAAAAGAGAATAAGAGATTTGAATGATAATTCTTTGTACTTGCATAAAGTTTTTCAGAGCTAAACAATATAATTAGTAGTAATAATAATAAAAACTCTTTTATTTTGTTCTTCTTATAAATAAGAAATATATATTAATAATTAAAAATTCAAATAACAAAAATTAAAATACTTAAAATTGAATTTTAATAATTCTAATACAGTGATTTGTTTAGTACAATATGATATAAAGCTCAATAATTTAATAATAACAATTTGCTCAATATAATATAATATAAAGTTCAAAATTAATAACAATGATTTGCTCAGTGCAATATGATATAAAGCTATTAATAATTTGTTAGGTACAATATAATATAAGATCACTTATACATAAGTTTTAAAATGTATAAAGAAAATATGAAAGATGGAAAAGAAGATTTTTGTTAAAAGAAATTTTTATTCAGTTACAACATATTGAGTTAAGACTCAGATGACACCTTTATTTATATATTTTTCAAAAATACAATTTCAAATAATAATAACTATCTAAAAAATAAAATAACTAATCAAAAAAAGATAAGATAAAAGATGAAAAGGTAAAATAAAAGGTAAAAAGTATATTAATAATCAAAATTCAAATAACAAAAATTAAAATACTTAAAATTCAAATTTAATAATTCTAATATAGTAATTTGTTTAGCACAATACAATATAAATTAATAACAATAATTTGCTCAGCGCAATATGATATAAAGCCCAAAATCAATAATAGTGATTTGCTTGACACAATATGATATTAAGTCCAAAATTAATAACAGTAATTTGCTCAGTGCAATACAATATAAAACTATCAATAATTTGTTAAGTACAATATGATATAAGACCACTTATATACAAGATTTGAAGTATATAAAGAAAATATGAGAGATGGAAAGTATTTAAAAGAAGATTTTTGTTAAAAGAGATTTTTATTTTCAGTTACAACATGTTAAGTTAAGGCTCAGATAGCATCTCTATTTATACATTTTTCAAAAATACAATTTCAAATAATAATAACTATTTAAGAGATAAAATAACTAGCTTGAAATACTAATTAAAAATGTCAGGGAGACAATTTTATTTTCCGAGATCAACAAAACCTGGCACAGATTTCTGATATGCATCGGAATATCATATGATTGCACCCTTTTCTATTGATCATCGAAATGGGAACAATAACTTTAAGAATTCAACATGAATGCTCATTCACAAGTAGAACTTAAACTCTCGTGCAAAAACTTACCAGACTTGGACTATTTTTCGAAAAGTGATCCGCAGGTCGTGCTTTTTGTCCAAGACCTGAATACACAGCAATGGGTTGATTCGAGGCAAAAGACCGAAGTTGTTATGAATAACCTTAATCCTAAATTTGTTACGAGCTTTGTGTTGGATTATCATTTTGAAATGTTGCAAAAGTTGAGGTAATTATATTACATTACGAGAATTTGTTTAAATTTGAGTGTTCGTATTCTTGGTTTTCATTTGTCGGTTACTAATAGATTCACTGTCGTGGATGTTGATAAACATGATAATTCGGATTGGAAGGTACAAGAATATGTGGGATCTTTTGAGACTGATCTAGGATCCATTGGTAAATGTTTGATTTTCTTTTCAACTATTTCTAATGACTGAAATAAAATTTTTTGTCACGAAAATAGTTGGAAGTCCGTATAATAGAGTAATTGGTAAGTTGATAGACTCAAACCATCCGGATAAAAATCGTGGATCTATTGTTATATTTGGTGAAGAGGTGTCGATTACCAAGAGAATTGTCAAGTAAACTTAGTATTTTTTATTGACTTTATGAATAATGAGATATATATTAATTTATTTTTAAAATTTTTGCAGTTTGCAATTTCAAGCACACAATGTTATCAAAAAGGTCCGTTAATAAAAAGAATTTAATGAATCGATTTTTTCACTGATGGTGATTCTAACAAATATTTTATAATAATGATTTTAGAGTATATTTTCCAGTTCGAAACCCAAAATATTTTTTGTAGTTGGTCGTGCTAATGAAGATGGTACTTATTCACCGGTTTATAAGAGCGGCTTAACCTCACCGAGCCTATTTTGGCCCGTTTTTTCAAGTAAGTTTGTGTAAATTCAATTCCAGAATATATATATGTATTAATTTTTACATTAAATTGTAGTCAAAGAATCATTATTGTGTAATGGGGATCAAGACAGAGGACTAGAAATCCTGATAAAGAAACAAAAAGAGAATGGCAGTACGTCTATAATAATCCTCAAGCTTATTTTAACAACTATTATTGTATGGTCACGTCAAAAAAATTGAGTTTATTAACAGCATACTATTCCCGATAGACCATCGATTACTAGCCAAATCAACAGTAACTCTGCGTGAACTCTTATCAACCACAACCAATAATAAACCATTTCAATTATCGCGCATAAACGCATCCGGGGAACCCGAAAAAGAAAAATCCTCCAAAAACCAATCGTACATTCGCGTAATACAGTGCTCGGTGCAGGAAGAACCCAGTTTTTTGGATTATATTGGTGGTGGGACTGAAATTAATTTGGTGGTCGGGATTGATTTCACGCAGTCGAATGGGTCTCCGCATGATATCAAGTCGTTGCATTATATTGACGAAAGGGGCGAGAATGATTATCAAAAAACGATTAGAAGCGTGGGAGCTATTTGTGAGTGGTTTTTTTTGATTAGTTGAAGAGTTTAGAATTATAGATTGAATTATGAAAATTTTATGTATAGTACAAGCTTATGATCATGACAAAAAAATCCCGGTAAACAGATTTTTTGTCTTGAAAAATATCATTCATGAAAAAACATTAATGATTGTATATTTATTAGGTATATGGATTTGGCGGTAAATTCGGCGGGGTGCTATCACATGCTTACCCTTTGAATGGCGATTTTAAAAATGTAAATTAAATTCCGCATTATTATTGCTTACAAAAAGTCTTATGAATCCTTAGTAATTATATAATTTTCATTTTAGCCAGAAGTTAAAGGCGTTGAAGGTATTTTAGCAGCATATCTACAGACTATTAATAATGTGGAATTGTATGGCCCAACGAATTTTTCTCCGGTACCAAAATTTGCTTTTGATTTAAACTGTCCTCGATTTTTGAAGCAATCTACTATCAAAATCTATCATCATAGATCATAAAACAAACAGCAGATACTGTTCGCCAAAATCTTGCGTCTGGTCGAGACAATGTATATTATATTTTGCTGATTATAACAGGTATGCTCCGGAATTCTGGGAATTGGATATTATTAATCGAAATGATACTATAACTAAGGATATATGAATAGGTCTAATCAAAATGGTTTTTTTTAAATTTTCTATTGTGAATGCGTAGATGGGATTATATTAGGTACTTTTTGTGTATTTAGTCTCGTTATTTTTGATGACTATTGATTGATGCGTGAGTTCTTAAAAAATTGAGATATGGATACGACCGTGAGAACTATTGTCGAAGCAAGTTCTCTTCCATTTTCAATTGTGATTGTGGGTGTTGGAAACGCCAACTTTACTGCGATGCACGATCTAGATGCAGATTACACAGCTTTGGAGGTATTTTTATTCTTTATGATTCAATCTTTATCAAAAACTCAAGTACATCGACTATTACTACTAACCACGAACACAGGCAAACAACAAAAAAGCCGAACGAGACATCGTTCAATTTGTAGCAATGCGCGAATTCGAATCAGCTGCTTCGCATCACCTCCTCCCGAAAGCCGTCCTAGAAGAAATACCAGACCAAATTATGAGCTACATGCAAAAACATGCAATTGGTCCTCGACCGTTTAAAAGGATTGAGACCGAGATGCAATTGAATTTGTCTTCGGGTGATAATGATCCACCTCCTGCATATCCTGGAGTCAATAATTTGAATTGAACATTTGCTCTATACCGAATTTTTATATAGCGAACAAATTTCGCGATACAACTATATTATACATACAGGATCAACCTTCTGATATCCAAGTATTTTTATATACCGAAGGCATCGAGTCGGCCCATGGATTTCGTTATATTATTAATAATATTTCTCGCACCATCCCGGAAATTGTTGTCTCCGTCAATATTGATCCAAACAATATGCCTTGACCCTTTTGTGAAATTGAGTGATCTGCTGTTTTTCAATTAACTAAAAAATATTTATGAGAAGTAAATAATTCAACTAGGCTTTTGCCTTGGTTAAAAAGTCATTCGGTGTCAAAATTTATTAATTGATAAAAGTGTAGATCACTTAATTTATAATAAAATATTTTTTTAACTTTTCAAGCAAGAAACAATTCACTGTACATATTAATTAACTAATTAATTAGTCCCAAGATATTATGTTGGTTTTTCGCCTAACTTAAATAAATTGCTATTAAATATCGTGCAAAATTACAATTATTATTAGCGTTCTAACCTCAATCTTGCAATATCATGTTTTGCGATTATGTGATACAGGGAGGAGGTATTCACTCATGCAAAGCAAGATCCAACCACACGGACTAACCCATAGAGATAAATTACTCGTCTTCATCACTGTCATCGTCATCATCGTCTATATCATCCAAATTTTCATCCACGAACAAATCCTCTTTAACTTCAACATCACTTATACCATTGTTCGTTTTATTACAACTGCTACTACTGCTGCCGCCTTCACCATATGGATTTCCCTCGTATTTCATATGAGATGATGCTAATGAAGATGATGGCACATCTTTAATCCCAGTATTATTGTCATTGTCTTCATTATCGTCATGCTTATATCCCGAAATATCGAACACATCTTCTCCATCATCATAATCGTCTCCCTGGTTAACAAGCTCCGGATTAAACGTGAACAAATCACGTCCAGACATGCCAAGTCCTTTACCGGCTTTGAATGCTGCTTCCTTGGCTTTCCGTCTAGCTTCAACTTCTGCCTCTATTTTCGCCTTTCGATTCTTTTTCCACTCGGTGAACGTTTCGAGTGTTACTGGTGTGAGATTCGAGCCTAGTTGATGGCGCTAAATACAATAATAATGTTATTTACTGAATGAGGGAACATTTAAATATGTAAAGCGATGATTGAGTAGAACATTATTTACCTCTGTTTCTAAGAACTCCTCGATTGTTATGTGATCTTCTTCCTCTGCCTCTGCTCTCTTTTGAGCTTTTGTTTTTAAGACGAAGCCAGGTGGAAGAGCATGCTTATACTTGCAATTTTTACCTTAGAACAAGTTTATTGCGAATTTATACGATCAGATAATGAAATATACCTCAGATCCAAACAGACAAAAAAAAATTTCAGATTACCTCCATTCGGACATTCCCAAAACCAACCATACTTTTGGTTCTCGATCGCTTCCAAAAAGTATTTGCACACAATGTCGGTGGTAGTTTTCGGATTCCCGTGTTTAGAATGTACGACTTGTTCAAGTTTCGATTGATCCCATTTGTCCATCGTATCTAATTTGATAGTATTATTATAATTAAAAAACAATAGATTTTTACATTTTGCTTTCATATAGATAGATATTTATTATAAATTACCTTCTGATTTTTCATCCTCGCCCGCTCTCACATCAGTATACAAATCAATTTTCGCAGTCTTCCGCTCGATATTCAAATCATGCGAAAACTTGCACTTATCGCCCTTCTGACACTGCCCGGCTTTGAAAAACGCGCACAGAAGGGTTTTCGGGTCAACGCCGAACGGGACTTTTTGCTGCGTTTGAACGGGTTTGAAGAGATCCGCGAGCTCTTCCTTCTTTTTTTGTTCGGCAGCTTTCTTGTCGGCAATAGCTTGTTTCGCGGCGTCTTGTTCTTTCTGTTTTTGTGTGCGAGCCCAAAGAAAGGTTGAGTGAATGTTTCCAAATGTATATGCTCGGGCACCCTTTTAACCTTAAATATGAAGGATAGTAAGAAAGTACCTTTGCCTTCCTATCCCCCGCTGCCATTACTTGCGTCTGAATCTGCTTGATTTGCTGTTGAACCTTTGCAGATTTTTTCTTGTTCTTTAGACCAAAGGTCTTGTCCTCGATCACCTTTTGTTTCTCTTTGTCTTTGGATTTGGTGGATTGGGTGTTCTTTTTTGGCGGCATTGTTGGTTATTTTGGTTTGAAAACTTTTGAAAATTGCGTCAATGCCGAGTATGTAAGGTGTAGGAGGCCTTTTATTTTCTTTTTGAAGAAAGATGGAAGTCGAATATATATCTGAACCGCAAAAGATCTGCGCTAATGCATTAATCTTGTATTCGATTTCATCTAAAAATTTAGAAATTGGCTTGTCGTGTTCTTGCTTTAAACAATGTCGTTGAAACGGAAAAGACAAAAGGAAGCATTATCGGCTCAAAATTATCCAACAGGTTAATTTTTGAATTCTAATTTATAATAAAACATTTCAATTCATCATTTTAGTACATTTTACCATGTATTATTTTATCTAAACTGTAATAGTATCAAATGATTCAAAAACTGCAATTAGCTCTCAAAATACAGTCCAGAGCAGCAAGTATAACAATAAAAAAAGTGCTCGTCATAATTTAGAAATTTCAAGTAATGATAATAAAATTGCAAAGGATTTGAGGTACTTTGTAAGAAAAACACATTTTCATATTGAATTATTGATAATAATAATTACCACATGAAAAAAATCAAAAATAACACAGTGAAAAACCTATATCAACAACGACCGCTTCGATCACCACAACCAAATCTCACTCTCCACCAAATTTGAACACAAATCAAACACCGAATCATGAATTCAATGACAATAATAATTCGCAGGGCATTGCTTTAAGAAAACAGTCTTACAATGTAAAAAAGAGTTTGGAAATGTTATCCGAAGTTAATTACGATGATGAAATTGAGAATAGTGATCAGGAAAGCATTCAGATCGAAGAAGAAATAACCGACAATAATATGTTTGGAAATGTGTCGGAATCAGAAGAGGATGATGACGACGTTGACAAAACTCAGAATATAATAATAATGAATGATTTGAAAGTAATCGAGAAGATAGATCATCCGATAAAAAGGTATTTTTAGAAATAATACTAACAAAAAATAAATTTTCCAATAATCGCATCTTTTAAAACTCAGGATTTCTTGTATTACATATATTTAGCACCACTAACATCATAGATCCCAATGCAATATCAAATTTCTCACCGACCTCATCAAATGTATTTCATTCTTCTACTGTGAATAATAACACTCATGGACGTGTTTGCCTGGTTGCAATGCAAGCAGAAGAGGTTATATACATACTAAATACGCACGACGTGTTCATTATCGGGTAGACCTACAAGCAATTCAAGTCTCACTAAATAAAAAAATAAATATGTAGACGATTTGTTTCCAAGGCTACGTTTTGGTGGCTCCTTTATTTGGACAAATTACTATTATGGGCCATCGTTTGCGTGGTGAGCAGATTTCACAAAAAAAGATTGATTCCGAGGACGAATTAATTTTTTGGCCGGTTTTCTCGCCAAAGACGCATGGTCTCGTAGTTATTAGATCTATGGCGATGGAATCGACTACCACAGAATTACCATCATACAAAATGTCGAATGTGGGAGTTAAAGCTCCAGACACTCTCAAGGCCACAATCAATGAACTTTTAGTAAATCTTGATTCTAGATGCGTCACCTTTAATTCTATTGTCATCTTTTGCGAATTGTCTTGGTGTGGAATCGACGGTGTTGAACGTACTTCAACTTCAATATTCAGAAATATTTTTTCGAGGGACCGAACAAGAAATACTGACGAAAACATGTCTATCGACAAAACTGATGATTTCAGGATTCCGGGATTTTATCCGGTACACATTTGTTTATAGTTTCTATATGTATTATTAATCTTAACTTATATACTCTTGTAAAAAATAGATTTTGGAACCAATGCCGGGAATCATCGGTCTCCATTTTCCTGATTCATGGACAGTAACCGTTAAACAAATATTAATAGAATCTCTTGACAATAATTATAGTATTTATCAATTTTATTGAATGTTAAAAAATTTTCTCAACTACGAATATTTTATTAATTCTGTTATTGTTTCGTCTATTTTTATTAAGATGGACAAACACACCCTGTCATAATTTTATTCGGACGTAAAAATGTGGGGAAATCTACATTCTCAAAAATCCTTACAAATACATTGTTAAATAGGTATTAGTGATATTTGATTTAGAGCGAGTTAACTTGTTTTAACGAAATAAATTGTTTAGACATCCAAGAATAGCATATATCGAAAGCGACATTGGACAACCGGAATTCACACCATCAGGGATCGTCTCGTTAAACATAATAGATTCTCCGATTTTTGGTATTTATAATTTCAACTTTAACGATTACTTATATCGAGCATAATAAAATTCGGTTTTTATTCTAGGACCACCGTTTACACATCCCAAACTACCTTACCGATCTTATTTTATTGGTCACACCAATCCGCGCGACTGCCCTGATTACTATTTATCTTGTCTCCAAGAATTGGTAGCGGTATTCAGACGTGATTTTGTAGATTCATCGGAATATGAGGATATTAAGAGTAATAGAATCCCATTGATCATAAATACTCATGGTTGGGTCAAAGGTATTTTATTGTTTTTTTTCTTTTTTTTTTGAGTTGGCAATCGTGTATATAAAGTTCAATTGCATCTTCTTTAATATATAGGATTAGGATATGACCTATTTCTACAACTCCACAACTTCGCAAAACCCACTCACATCTGTCAATTCCAATCTCTTACCTACCCATACCTAAATCCTCCCATTCTTCCCTCTTACGTTCTCTACCCCGAGGACCGACCTTTTCCAAAACTATACCATGTGGATTCGAACCACTCTAGTCCCAATTCTGCCAGATTCAATGCGCAATTTCAACGGACACTCATGCTAATTTCGTATTTTTATTCAGTCCAATTTTCTTCGAAACTACTACCGCGGCAAGGTTTTGATCAGCGGTGGTGGAATTTCGATATAACACTTGTGCAGCAGGTTCCGTGGTGCTTGGATTGGACTAAGGGGTTGTCAAAAGGAGTGTTTATGCTTTGTGCGGAAGTCCCGTATAGTCAATTGTTATATGCTTTGAATGGTTCGATTGTTGGATTGATTGGCGACTTCGAAGTTGAGGAAGATGGAATGGAATATGAAGATGATGATGATAACCTGATTCAAGAATATAGTAGTTATAATAATCGAACAGATTCCTCAAAAATCGTAAGTTGACATATATCGCTTGTTTTAGATTCAACATAGTACTTATGTTTTATTTTATGCAAATAGATTCCACCACCTTACTTTCCATCTCCAAAATTTCCACCACCACCCCCAGCACATCACACTTGCTTCGGGTTAGCCATAATACGCTCAATCGATCCATCAACTCACACATTCCACATTTTGACCCCGCTCTCTACCACGATATTGAAACGAGTCAACGGAATCATAAAGGGTTCTTTGGAGCTACCAGTTTGTGCTAGCATCGACGAAACTTCCAAAACTTCTACTGGACTATGCCGAGTTCCGTGGAAAAAGGTGCCCTATTTAAATTTTGATGTTGGTGCTGGTGCTGGACACGCTGCGCAACGAGTTAGAAGAAATTTGATGAGACGTGGACAGATGAATACTGCTTCTATACATGATTTATAATCTTATTAAGTGTAGCATAGACAATAATAATACATCTTTTTTGTAACTAAAAATTTTGTATCTAAACTTTAACGCTCGAGCCAAAATTTATGGATAATTTTTTGTATCTAAAAATTATCGCGTATCGAGAAACAAGTTCCACAATAAATTAACCCCAATCTGAATTAGACATGAGAAACTCTTTCAGATTCTCTAATGCTTTGTACCGATGCGAAATAGTATTTTTTAGATCTTTAGGCATTTCGGCATATCTAAAACAAGAACAGAATATAAGTATCACCAAAAAAGCACTTTTCGAACTTGTATAAAACAAACACCATGATATTAATAAAATTCACGTTAGTTCAAAGCCATCTGGTTGAAATATCGGGTCCCATCCAAAACCAGTAGATCCACGCGGAGGAACAATCATTCCCTATAGTGTTTATAAATTATCCTCAATGTTGGTGAAGAAAATTGACTTTCACAAAAATGAAAAATCGTAAACTTACAGGAGTTTTTCCTTCAAAGAGGATTGGTTCTGCATCAGGCCCTTGAGAATAGGCGAATGTGCATAAAGCGTATGCAGATTTATCTTCGAATCCTGCTAGCATACGATTTAGACCTTAAAATGAATAATTAAAGAATATGAAATTTGCCAGAATATACAAAATAAAGAATATTGATAGGAAAAGATCGCTAGAGCTAACCCACCATCATGTCCTAATTTTTCCAAAAACCATTTTCTGCAACATTGAAAATAATACTATTAATAATTATGCGTGTAGTATTACGCGTTTCATTATAAAAAAAAAGCAACAAACATGTAAGGTCCTGGAAGACCATTCAACGCGTTGAAACACAAAGCTGTGTCTTCCGTAATGACCGGTCTATTTATCTTTTACAAAGTAACGAAATGCTCTAGTTTATATTTGAGTAGAACAAATTTCCTTTGTTCGCGTCTTTTACCTCCTTTACAGCCCTTCGACATTTATCAGAAGAAACTTCACGTGTACTTCCTTGGATTTCAGTCACTATCCATATGTATTACAATTTATGTTAGTATAGAAAGACAGGGAACAGGTGAGTAACTCGACGAGCCTTACCGTCAAGCTTGTGGTCAACCAAATTAACAGACGTTCCAAGAATTGCTTGAACTTCGGCGAGTTTATGCTTATTCCCAGTGACAAAAACTGTTTGAAAGGTAGAAAAAATCAAAAAATAGTTCCTTGTCGAAAAACGGTGATCGCGCTTTGCATTCACCTAATTTACGTAGTTCTTTTGACGCCATTTTATAGACCGAGTTTTGAATTTAGATGTTAACATTAACTCTTCGATCAATTTTTACGTGACGTCATGTTTATTTAGAATATGTATGCTGAAAAATTCTCACACCAAATAGCGATAGAGGACACTAAGAAGTCAACTGATTAATGAAACATGGGAGACAAGAATGACACCGCAGAGCCACTCACAACTGAAAATCATGAAGTCATCAACAAATACACCACAGCAGCCGATATTTCAAATCGTACGTAAAAGTTTTGCGTTGATCTTCGTTTAAACAAAAACAAACACGAAAGGAGAATTTTCGCTCTTGAGCTCGGGTTCTCTCTCCGTCTCCCTCTGAAAAAGTTTTTCCGGAGGTCTCATGTAACTCATGAAGGCTGCGTTGCATTTAGAAAATGGGATACTTATTCGGACATTTGTTTTACCTTTTACATATCAATATCGCACCCATTGCTTTTCTATCAAAATAATCCCATTATTTAGGAGTTCTTAAGAAAGTGGTTAGCGCTGCTGTAGACGGCGCAAAAATAATTGAACTTTGTAAATTGGGTGATAAAGAAATTGAAGATAGCGTCAAAGTGCTCTACGTGAAACAAAAAATTCCCAAAGGTGATTAAGTTAATCCATCAATAAAAATGCCAACCCCCGTTCTATTTCGTATTAATTAACAAAAAAGCGTCGTCTATTTCGTATGTTTACAGGCATTGGTTTTCCCACATGTGTATCAGTAAACAACATTATATGCCACTTTTCACCACTACCGTCTGATCCCGAGGCCGTCGAAACACTAAAGAATGGCGATCTGGTAAAAATTCAGCTAGGGGCCCAGATCGATGGGTACGCAGCAATCACGGCTACAACTGTTGTTGTCGGGGCGACAAAAGAAAATCCAGTTACCGGGCGCAAGGCAGATGTGATAACTGCGGCACATTTAGCTGCCGAGGCGGCGATCAGATTGATTAGACCTGGTCTTGTAAATATGGCTGTCACCGAAACGATACAAAAGATTGCAAGAGCGTTTGATACTAATTCCGTTGAAGGTGGAATTTATTCAAGTTTTTCTATTAGATTTTGTATTATTCATATTCGTCTGTTTTTTTTTTGGTGTTGTATTCTAATTACGTATGGGCATGGGTGAACTGCGAACAGGTATGCTATCACACCAACTGGAAAAAAATGAAATTGAAGGAAAGAAACAAATAATCCTTAATCCTAATGAGGGTCAAAGACGCGAATTCGAGCGTATAGAATTCGCTGAACATGAGGTGTACGGCGTAGATATATTAATTTCTACGGGCGAAGGCAAGGTTGGTTTGTTAGTTTTCATATATATTAAATTCGATTATCACATAAATCACTATTCAATAATAATTTTGTTTTTTGATTTATTTTATTATCTAATGATGATATAATTTTGATGAACTAATAAATGTCATAATTTAGCCAAAGAACTCTCGTGCACGCACGACAGTCTATAAAAAGACCGACACCACATATTCGCTAAAGATGAAAACCTCACGTGAAGTGTTAAATGAAATTCGCGTGAAATTTGGGTCGTTTCCATTCCCGCTAAGTTTATTGACAGATGAGAAAAAAGCGCGACTGGGCATACAGGAATGTGCTACGCATGAACTGGTATCGTCGTATCATGTATATCAGGAGAAAGAAGGTATTTGTTGGCTTCCTTCTTTTAATTTTGGTTGTGTATGCTATTCAATTAATTCGGATTACATGCTTTATTGTAACAATATATCAAGACGAATATGTAGCGCAATTCTTTTTCACAGTTATCTTGACAAAGAACGGACCTCTCCGAATCACCAACACACTATACGATCCAGACGTGATCAAAAGCGACAAAAAACTGGAAGACGAAGAGATCAAAAAATTGCTGGCGACGAATTTGAGGCCTAGTAAAAAGAAAAATAAGAAGAAAAAGGCTGCTGAGGAGAAGAATGCGGAAAAAGATGAAAATGCCGTCGGTGACAGTTCGGTGGTTGATTGAATTAATGAATGGGTTATTCGATGACTTGAGGGATAATAAATTAATGTAAAAAGATGTAAAAAGATTTTTGAGTGCTGGTATTATTTTTTATTTATATAAATATAATGATTCTTTTAAAGAGTAATTAATGACTCTTTTAAAGAGTAATGATTCTCATAATCTTCTGCTGTTGTCTGGAAATATAAATCCAACTAATGTTTATTATTATTCGTAATTATTACTTATTATTGTAATTATTACTATGAGGATTAAAGAATAGTCTATATTATTCTCGTTATTCATTATTAATAATTAATAATTTTAATGTAATGTAATGTAATGCTCACAATTAAAAAGTACCCTACAAGTAGTAATGAACGCCCAAAATATACCATCCGCCTTTTCACTGCTACGTAAGTCCCTCCCATACCAAAGAAAAAAGACAGACTATCATTATACATATAACAAATTGTATAAAGCAAGAAAGGAGTGATAAATGTTTTCAAGGTGCTTCCTCTTTCCCATTCTTTTGTGCAAGACTTGCCTCACGCATACTATGGCTACTCGCTGACATCGGCAAATACCCAGCCTGATGTCGCGATGTGCTCTTTTTTTGAGCTGATTTTGCCATGGTGTACACGACGCCCGCGATAAAACCTTTAGATGATATTAAAAATTATTAGATTAATGATTCCAATATAAGCCGAGGAAACTTATCATCCAAATTACAACAGTAAAAATAGACGTACCAACAAACACTGCAGACACGTTTCCAAAAGTTATCGGATCTCCGAAAAATACCATGCCACTAATAGCAATTGGCAATTTATTTAATGCACCAACCATACTGTAGGTTGTACTGCTGGTCACTCGAATACACCATGCTGATGAATACGAGATACCAAATGCCGAGACTCCTGAAAAGAGCATCGCCGTAATAAGTGGATTTCGAATTTCCGGAGGGCTTTAATCGGTTGTCGTCATATACAAAAACAACGAGAAGAAATACGATTACTTAATTTTCTTAAAAAAAACCAAGCATTGAATCTCACAACAAAGATGATTAAATTCATACAAATTATTCTGCAAATTTTCCGCGCTCCAATCTTCAAGCAAAAAACTCATCACAACCAACACTGGTATCGACAACAAATTATTATAATAGACTGTGTCGAAATCCTTGAATCCCGTCAACGTGATCCGTTTCCGCATTGTTAGTGTGAATGAAGCGGTTGCCAGACAGTTCGTGCCCATCCAAAAGTATCCAACGTTTAGTGTCGAGACTTGGGATGTTGCAGTTTCTAATGCGTAGGAGATGTCTGCCCATGCGGCAATGATTGAAGAAAGAATCTAACGAGTATGATGGATATTAGGAAAATTCACGGGAAAAGAAAACTTATTTTGTTTTATATATTCCTACCATTAATAGAAAACTCGTAATCATGAGTCGAGTCACTGATCCACCAAACCACAGCATTTCCCCATACGCAATCAGAATAATCGTTAGATTCTTGAAGATTGTGTATACCGGTATTGATAGATATTGTAAACTTGATAAAAATTAAAGTTGTGTCAACAATGTATGAACAAATGAAATCCACAGATCAGATGCCAAAATATAATGTTTACCTTTTGCTTCCGGTATAAATCATTGCAATTAAAAGAAAGACAATCGGAAGCCCTATTATTTAATCATCGATGATAATAATTATTGAATTAAGCTGGTCTTTATTAAAGTTAAGACAAAATAGCATTACACTCACATTTTTTCGCAATGCATGACTCAATTTCTCGGAAATTTATCAGCTTGGCGGTTTTGGATCCGTGAAGCAGGACAACGCATACAACAGACTTTAAAAAAAAGAAAATTAAAAAACATGACGTTGATCAATTCGCAAAAAATTAAATAGTGCCGTAAAATAAAACCTCACCTGAATGGCCAACAAGAAGAAATTCATATTAAATTCATACCCGGACAACACATATTTGTTCGTCACGGTCATCAGGATGCTCGCGCCACAATAACTCAGTATGGGCAGAGCGCCTGTGCTCGTTAGTGTAGATAAGAGTCCGGGTTTTCTGAGGTTTTTGGTTATTATTGGTGGGACTCTTTTCTCTTGAAAACTATCATTGGTATTGTTGGTATTGGCGATCTCATTCTCATCATCGCCTATTAGGAGTTTGTATTCTTTGGTGTTTGGCTCTGGCCGTGCCATCGCTTTTTTTATTTGTTGGTTGCGTTGTCCTTTCTTTGTAAAATGAGATAGAGTCACACGCAGAGTAATGAAAATTATTGTTGGTGTTAAAAAAAGAGAGGGAGTAGCAGTTTTTTGCCAAAAGATTCGATGGTAGAAGAGACAAATATTCGATGATATAAAAGAGGAACAATTTATTGTATATTTCACAAAATTCCAAGTTTGACAAAATCCTTTTATGGCCTATTATCGTTATCGTTATATATATATAACTTAGTTTTAACGATTATGTAATTTATTTTTTGAATTCGACTCATACATCGATATGGGATTTTAGTCGATAAACTATCGACTTTTATCTTTAAATTAATTAAATATTTTAGAAATTAATTTTATCACGATTATGCACCAGATTTAACCAGTTGTACCACATCCTCATCTTGCAAAACGTGCGTTAATCCGACTTTCTGTGGCTGATGCTTAGCAGAGCTTCCCCAAACGAGAGCACTATAAACATAAAAAACAATGAATGACATCATCTAAACTACTTATTGCTTTAATGTGTGTGATTGAAAGATACACTTACTATTTAAACTCCTTGGCAATTCCCTTATGAATACTATTACAGAAATCCTCGACTGTTTGTTGGTTCTCGCGTAATACTACTGGAGCACTATAATCTGGTAATTGACCTTTCGGTTTTGTATATCTGTTCATTTATAAAAGCAACAAACAAATTAATAAAAGAGAATTACTTGCATAATAATAATGCAGTAACCAAGAAATTATAAGACCAGTACATTCTCACTAGATTAAGATATTCCCACATCTTTTCCAGCAACTCATCAAAATTCCATTCCTATTTTATAACGAACAAATGAATCAGCTATAAACATTGATAAAATATCGTTAATTAAACAATGACTTACATGATGAGCAGATATCGGTATTGCATGAGGAATCTTGTAAATCAGATCCAGCTCTTCAATACTAATCTGATCAATCTATACAATCCAAGAAATTAATAATTATTACCGCAATCACAAATTAAAATTCATGCTAACAGTAGGTCCCATTTACCTTATTAAGCACGTAGATAGCCGGAATGTACACCCTTCCCTCAATAACATCAATCAAATCATCAACGGTAGCGTCACACTTAAACGTCACATCCGCATTATGAATCCGGTACTCACTCAACACCGCTTTCACCTGCTCCAGGTCCAAATGTGCAAGTGGGACGGTATTTGTCATATTGATCCCACCTTTTTCTTTCTTCTTGAAATAGATATTTGGCGGTTTCTTGTTGAGTCGAATACCAAATCCTTCCAATTCTTTTTCAATGAGTTTCTTGTGTGTCAGCGGTTTTAACACATCGAGAACGAGGTAAATTAAGGAACACGTTCGTGCTACCGCTATTACTTGGCGACCACGTCCTTTCCCATCTTTTGCCCCTTCGATGATCCCGGGCAGATCGAGGATCTGTATTTTGGCACCCTTGTATTGCAGTACACCTGGCACCGTTGTCAGTGTCGTAAATTCATATGAAGCGACTTCTGAAAAAGTACCCGTTAATTTTGACATAAGGGTCGATTTTCCAACCGATGGAAAACCTTTATATTTAAAAAAAATCATGGTTTAACACACGTCCGATCGACTCATCCTTTCCAAGCAAAAATAATCAAAATTTGACCATACCAACAAATCCAATTCGAGCTACTCCCGTCTTGGCAACATCGAAACCCACTTTTTGTTCGCCAATTCGACGATCAATGATTGAATGAGAGAATTAATAAATTTCAAAAGATATGCCCAATAAAATGTATAAAAAATCAAACACATACATACCCCCGCTAGATCCACCCCCACTCGAAGGCGTAATTAATTCTCGTCGTAATTTTGCGAGCTTTGCTTTTAGTGTACCCAAATGGTACGAGGTGGCCTTGTTCTTTTGTGTGCGGGCCATTTCGGCCTCGACTGTAAACGAAAAGCAAGCAAGCAAAGGGGATGCGGTTAAAGCAGAACAATCCAGAGAACACGGATTTTGTGAATTGAGACATACTTTCGGCGATTTTTTCAATAATCGTTGACATTGTGGATTAGTTCTCTTGATTTTTGAACGAGTTAGAGTTAAACGTAATTAAATCAAAAAAACATTGATATTTGTCGCACAAAAATACATTCTATCTATCTACTCTATATTTTTTGCCCTCGTAAAAAAAGCATAAAATAAAAGTAAGTTCCTGACTTAAATTATGTTTTATACTTGTTGCTGATACTTTTACTCCTAATACTTGTAATTAGTGAGCACAAAGTTACTTATAGTAATATTGAAATTTTGTTTGCCATCAAATAAAGCTCACAGCGCAAAATGATTGAAGACACAACGCTTATGACGTTGGTCAACACCCTAGGCGCCATCACATTCGTCTTGATATTTGTGTACCATTTCGTCGTTGTCAACTCCCGAACTCAGCAAAAACAGAAAATATCTAATTGATAAAGTGTGAGTTGGTTGGTCTGTTATTTACCATTAGTTACATGTAAGAATTTTTAATTAATCCATATCATTTACAATTAATAGATTGAAATCTCCTCGAATGAAACAAATAATAATTTAGAAGCTAACTCTCCAAAATTTTATCCATCTTCACTAATTTAAATCTTCTTTTTTGCTAACGGCCCATCACCTCCTTCACGATGAATCAACATGATATCGGCTTGCGCGTTAGACAGGACTTCCATTTCCGAAATCACGACGTTTGTTGGACGGATGGCTGCGAAAACGACACACTCGGCTAATAAATTAATTTCAAACAATTATTTAAAATAAAAATTTAATCATGTGATGCTAATTAACTTATTTTACCTATATCTTTCGCTACAAGCGGGTCATATCCTTCATAAAAAATGGCATCGAATTTGTCATCGTCACCGGATCTGCGTAGCGTGAACTCTGTCTTCACTGCGCCTTTTGAATATATAATCAATATCAGCAAGACTGTAACTACAAAGCTATCCACTAAATCCATGTTATCATATATGTTAATTACCGGGCCGTATTAAAATCACGCGAATTTTCGTAGCTATAAGTTCTTTTCTAATCGATCTGATCCAATCATATCAATAATTAAATGATTAAACTGATACTTGACACTACTCAAAAAACTCCCCCCCCCCCCAATTTACGTTGTAAATCCTTCGACCGCATACTTGGATGCTGAGTAAATAGAATTTCCATATTGATGTGTCTGTTTGCCTAAACCCACAATAAGCGTATAATATTTAAATCAATTACATTTTTAGTGTTGCTGTCCTATCAAAACAAATACATTACCAGAAATACTTCCAATATTGATAATATCTCCGGAATTTCGTTCTTTCATCCTCGGCAAAATAGCATGTGTCATATAAATGAGCCCATTAAGATTGGTTTCAAGTACCGAAAGGATATCCTCCTGTGTTTGCTTTTCTATCGTGTTAAATCCGACTGCTATGCCTGCCTAAATCATAAGAAAAATTCATTTCAACATGTATGATTCTCGCTTCGGGTCTAAAAACCATTTATGCATTTCAACGCATGCATATAAACACACATTATTAACCAACACATCAACACGCTTAAACTTTTCAGGCAAACTATTCACAGCGTTATCAATTTCATTCTTATTCCGAATGTCTACAGCGGCGATATGAATTTCCACTGACGGGTGTTTCCTACGAATATTTGATTCGAGCTCTTTCAACCGTTCCAAACGTCTTGCAAACAATATGTATTAAAGATCATGCCGTTATATTCGGATGTTAAATGTAATAAGAATTCTTTGTGGATCGATGTCTCGAGAAATAATGATCAATTTGAAAGATAAGGAAGGATATTAAATTTGCACCGTGTTCCGCAAATTCTTGTGCTGTGGCAGCTCCCATACCAGCAGACGCCCCTGTACTGTCAAAAATAAATTGAAATCGTTGACATTTAATAAAAAAAAATCAATCAATGTAATAAAACCAACAAACATCAATACAACACGACCCGATAGATTTGTGGTAGACATTCTTTTTTTCAAGTTGCGCATGCACGTTGACGATATTATCCCAAAGATGATCAATTATTGTGTGCAACCAAATTAACCTTTTTTAATTAAAATCGGAAAATCAAAATTAACACATTCAAATATTATTGGGATTAAAATTTATTCTCTATCATGAATTCACTCTATCTATATAGTAAAACAAATAAAAATAATTAGAAATCAAATTACCACAAAATTTTTGATTTGACGAATTTAACTCACTAAATTAATTGGATGGCATGGATAATAAATAAAACTTAAATAAATGTAGAAACATAATCCCACTGTTTAAACCGCGCCAGAAGCACCAAGTTTATCAAGCGACTTAATCCCATCCTCTTCCCATTCCTGTTTAGATATCCACCATGTCACACGGTCTTTCATTATATTAGCTAATACTGCGCCACCCAAGAACACCATGTGTCTACGACGCGGCGGGTCTTCAATTCGAATTCTTATTTTCTATTATTTTTTTCGTATTTTAATTCAACGATGTGAAGAAATAAATATGATAGAGATGTGGAAAGAAACATGTATTATTACCTGTAATATCGAACCATCCATTCTCGCGACTCTCTCCAAATACAACTGTTTAAGCTCTTTCTCAAGTCGACTTGGTAATCCAGGGTACATTGATGATCCACCCGATAGCACTATGTGTCGATACAATTCTGAACGCACGTCGTATGCTGCATCTTGAATTGCTTCAAAAATCATTTCTAACGTGAACGTTTAAAAATCGACGAATTATTATTAATGAAGACAATACGAATGATAAATAATTCAAGAAAAAATATTATTATTACCAGCTACACCTGGTTGTTCGTTATCAATTAAATGAGGTTGGAACATACACTCGGGTGCCTCAAATCGCTCCGAACCAACTTTTATGATACGTCCATCAGGTAGCTAAGTGGCGCATATCCATATTAAACAGAATGCTAAACCAATAGCATCAAAATCAAATGAAAATTTTATACCGTATAATTCTCCATTAGAACTGTAGTCTCGTTCGCCAACTTTTGATCCAACTTTAAATCATAACTTTTATTGATATAAAAAACAATCATTCAATAAATGAGTCAAATACGTCGATAAAAATAATCCAAGAGATAACCGTGTGGTCAAGTACGTACATGTACAACATACCTTACATAACAAAGTTTCTCTTTGATTTGCTGAACAGTCTGGAAATCTGCGGTACGATTAAAGGCGTATCCTCTTAACAAGAGTAATTTTATAAGATACCGCGTAACGTCACGACCAGCGACATCTAAGCGACGCGTTTGATGTGGGAGGGCGTATCCGTCGTAAATAGGAACAATGTGAGTGACGCCATCGCCAGAATCCACGACAACGCCAGTGAGAAGACCTTTAATAATATTATTATTATCATCGTCATCAAAGTAAAAGAAATCAAAATCAATAATTAAGAGTTAAGTGAAATTTATTTTCTTACCCTGTGCATACAGTGTCAACACAGCCTGAATAGACACATGCACCCCCTGAAACCCATAGTCTTCAAACATCGTGCGCACCATCTCACGTCGATTCGCCAACGGATTCATCGGCGGCTCTGTCAACAATATCTTACATTCCCGCGGATCCACTTGCAACTTTTCGAAGAACGTGTAATTCCACAAATACTTCATCTCCTCCCACTTTTTGATAATTCCATTCTCCATCGGATACGTCATTTGTAGAATGGAACGGACTTCGGCGGCTTCGTCGCCTACCATGATATCTTTTACCTCGATATTCCCGATTTTTTCTTCGGCTCGAAGAATTGGGCGGCCCACTACTGACGGGAATACATGTTCGGGAAAGTTTGAGCCGGCGTAACCTACTTTTACAAACTTGCAGAGTTTGGGTTTGAGTAATTATGTTTTATTAATAGTAAGAGGTAAATCAGCTCAATAAGTAATTAGGCACTTGGAATTTAGTTAATTTCTACCATGTATGTATGAACTGCTTAAACTCACCCCTGTCCCATTATCAACCACCAAAGTCTTTGAGTCCATGACTAGAATTTTATGTAATGGATAATTCTTTCAGAAAACCTTTGGCACCCCAAGTTTATAAATCCAAGCAACACTTTTAATTGGCAGGATCAAAATACTGTAAGAGTTTTAAACGCTGGGCAAAAATTAAAATTATCAAATTCCTAATTAGGGGAGCGGTTAAAGCGTTGCGAGTCATGTGATCTGACACGGGATAATGTGGCTGACCCCACTTCGGAAGGAATCCG